GAGGGAGCTATCGAATTGACGCGAAGGGGAGACTGCGCGTTTCTCGCGTGCGCCGGAAAATTGAATTTTATCGACGAGGACTACGAGGACTCCCTGAAATGAAACTCACGCGTCGCTCGAGCGAGATACGAGTCGGGAAGATCTACCGTGAAGGTTTGCGCACTTCTCGAATGCGGCGGGGGGGGGGGGGTCGACAGCGAATCCTTCTCATGATCCCTCTCGTCGTTTATCACGTCGTTGTCGTTATTCGCTATTTGTACTGTCGCGACGTCAGGTGGATTTAAATTGAGATCTACAATGACAACTTGTTGATGCGATAAACGGTTGCCGGATAAATGTACAGTTTTACGCACCGTTAGACCCGACGCTCGCGCGATTTAGATCAATCAGAGATACGACGAACTTTGACTCCGGTCGCCGCGCGTTATTCGCGGCCGCGCAGACCGTTCGCTCTGTAATAACACGTCCGGTGCTACGTGTTTCGTGAATGAAATTCTACGCCACTCGGCGAGTTACTTTATAATGGAGCCTTTATCGATCGCTGGACGAGAGCCAGGCGCGAGTTTAACGACGCAGCCGGCAGGTTGATGCTTCGCCGCTTATGGAAAAGTGGAGATAACCCGTATAGATAGGCGGCGAATTTATCAAACCGCCCTGATTTCTTCCAAGGGTTGCCCCGAGATTTATTCGTCGCGCCTCGCCCACAGATATTGCTTTCTAGATCGAGAAGATGTTCTCCGATGAAAAAATGCGCACGAGCGCGGACGTGACGCGAGAGAGTCGCTCGTTTATCGCTCGTTATTCGCGTTTCCCTTCCCCCCGCGAGACAATAGTGGAGGGAGGTCGAGTTTCTTGTTTGGAATTAGCGGGCGATATTTCCTTACCCTCGCCAACCCGTAAATCCGTCTCTCGTGTTTCGAGCGCGACCGACGGACGGAAAGCCGTTCGCCATTAACAAGTAATCGCGTGGCTTATCGAGCGGCTATCGAAGCTTTGACGCTTTCGAGTCAACATATTACTTGGCTGGGCACCACATTCCCCCGTGTCCATGTGTGTGTGTGTGTGTGTGTATTCCTCACGCTAGCCACTCACCGGTCCAGGTTAGGCTCGTAATTTTCCCGTGAGTTTCTAGTTGGGGTAGGTAAGCGGTGCGAATCACTGCCCGATAAATACGTCGCCCATACTTACGGTCGCCGTAATAAAGTGGGTGCTATCGCTGTGGTATGCTTCGTTGACCGGTAACACCGACCAGCAGGCTGATCGTCCGGCTTGCTGCTGGTCGTGTTCGGTGTACACACACACACCAACACACACGTACACCCGTCGGTGCACGAAGATGGGCACAAGCGCGCTCGCGCGGGATCTTCATTCAATATTTAACCGGCGCGATGCTCTCGAGCGAGACGAGGAGGAGAGCCAGCCCGGGTTTCTCCATACATTGCGTCTCGCCCGTGATTTACGCGCAACGTCTCCGCGCGCCTCCGCTCTGCCCTTTCCTATGGTAATCCGCTCCGCTTCCGAAGCCGATACGACGCCATGGGTATAAATTATCCCGCGGACTAATTAACATTGTTGCCGATATCTCGCGGCCGACGACGACTCGCGCGTAACGCGAGAGGATACGAAGATTAATCGCGGGCGTACGCGCGATTCGGCGCATCGTGTCCAAGATGTTGTTCCTTCGTCCCGAGGGGAAGAGAGAGAGAGAGAGAGAGAGAGAGAGAGAGAGAGAGAGAGAGAGAGAGAGAGAGAGAGAGAGAGAGAGAGAGAGAGAGGACCATGCGAGTCCTTTGGGCGCCTCTCAGGGACGTGTTCGCAGCGCCTAGCCGAGAGATAGGCATTGATTTATCGTGCGCGCGTGTAATAGAGATTATTTATTGTTTTATGCGCGCGTTCGTCTCATATCGCAATCCGTAATTGATGACTATATATAACGCGCTGCGACGGAATGCGCCTTCCTGTTTTGCATGCTCGGAGTCATCGCGCGAGTGTTTCGCAACGTCGCGGTCGCGGTCGCGCGAAATTAATAGTCGGCGGCCGTATTGTGTGTTGCTGCCGTACCTCTCGTGTCTCGACCGCGCGTCGACGTTTGAAAATCGCCTCGGTTAGCCATTTTCGATATTTCACGAAGGAATCTAGAAATCCGACTGTCCGATCGCGCTAAGTACGCCGCCGGCCGAACGCAGAGACGTCGCTCGCTTTCCATGCACTGTTGCACCCGTCCTAAAAATAACTTTTCGCACATTTCCGCCATTGTGCGTTGAGAGGGACCCCACGCAGTCCGCACAATGTCCGGTAATTGACGGCGGTTTTTGTTTACCTTAGCCGTCCACTCGTCTCCTCGCGAGGGCGCGTCAATGACGCGCGAAACGACCGCGGAGCTAACTGAATTCCTCCGACGAGAAGAACGCGCGCGCGCGGCGTTAATGAATCGCCGAGTCCGGCGGCGCATCGGCGCGGCGATCCGCCGATCGCGAGGGTTAAATGCCTCTCGTAGGAGCGTGTGTTTCGTAATGCTCACGATGACATGATATTTCATTGTGCGCGCCGCTACGAGCGAGGCACCGCTTGCGTAATTATCCGCGCTCGACGTCGCCGCAACCCTACCGATGTTGCGCAGTAATCGTACACACGTAGCACCGCGGCCATTTATAAGCCCTCGCATTGACGACCGTCGGAGAGCTCTCTCGTTACCGGGACTACCGTAGGCTACGAACGGCCGTTTTCCTCGGCGGTTTTGTTCCGCGCTGAGAAACACACGGCTTACATACGTACATCTCCCGTGGCTCGCTCGCTCGCTCGTTCATGGCTGCAGCGGCGAGCGCGATTCGGAAGGCGCGATTTCAGATACGCGCCGATTTCACGTATCGAGAAAGAGAATGAGTTATGACGTACACGATGTGTGTACGCGCGCGCGCGTGTGTGTGTCGGGCCGCTCGGAGAAAAGAGTAATTATTATCGGCTGCCGAGGCGGCTGGCACCGTCCGTCGATCGACTCATTTAACCGTCCAGCCGGCCGGCCAGCCAACGTCCGGTTGTTTCGAGTCTCTCTAATAGCTTCGGATCTCATTGTAATAAAGTACGTAACGGTCGCGCTGCGCTAGAACGGGAAACGAGAGTAAAATTTACGAGGGAGGGGAAAGCACACCTCGCGGTACGGTTAATAATTTGATTAAGGCACTAAATGTATTCACGCGCGTGCGCGCGCGCTGCAGAGAGAGAGAGAGAGAGAGCAGCCTTTCTGGCAGTCATTTTGCGCCGCGCTATCAGCAGCTCCGGCCTCGCTCTCCCTTACATTCGCGATATATATTCCTCGAGCGCCTTTACTTTTCCGCCGGACGCGCGACGTGCGAAGGTGCTACGTGAGGAAAGGTCCAGCAGCAGCAGCAGCAGCCGTCGGTTCGAGGAAACTTTCCCTCTCCGGATGGCACCAAGAGCGCGCGGCCGGCGGCGCATTCAGAGGAGACACGCGCTCCGAATGAGAGCTCTCTGGCCGAGAGATTAGCCCGACTCGGCGGCTCCCACGCCTCATCTCTCTCTCTCTCTCTCTCTCTCTCTCTCTCTCTCTCTCTCTCTCTCTCTCTTTCTCTCCCTCTCTCGCGCTATCGCGTCATCGCGCAGATTCAATCTCGCCCAGGGTCCCCTTTCTCGCGCGGGAAAAGGGGCAGGCGGGGGGGGGGCGATGCAAAACCAGCTCCGGGCCGCTGTCGATCCGCCGGCGCGGCGTTATTTTTGTTCCGCCGCAAAAACATGCAAACTCCGGCCAGACTCCGGCGGAGGATTTATTCGCGGGCGAAGTGCAGGCAAGGGCAGGGAGAGGGATGGGGTAGCCGCGCTTTCGCGCGTTTACATGGAAGCCGGGGCAGATGGGATCGCAGATCGCGGAACCTCGACGGTGGATCGCGATGGCGATCCTCTCTCGCATCTCGTTCTCGCGCAGCGCGCAGCGCGGTCGGACGCGATCCGCGTGAGGAAAATTGCTTAATCGTGCGCGCGCGCGGAAGCGTGCGGAGAATTTCAAGCACGTGGTAGGGAACTCCGAGTATCAGCGCGCGTTTCGCAGACGTCTCTTCTCATTGTGTCCCGGCGGAGGCATTGTATCTCTCGTATACATCTGGCCTATTATGTCGGCCGCCCCTCCCCCCTTCCCTGGAGGCTCACTTGTTCCCTCGCGCGATCCTTATTGCCGTATGTTTCGAGAGCGCGCTCTCCACCCTCTCCGTCTCTTCCCGGACTCGCCCTTGCCGCACGCACGCGCAGGTGGAGGTGAAGAGGTAGCCGGGGCGCGTTGCACTCGCGCGCGCGATGACTCACGTCCACGGGAGCGGCGCATCGCCGTATTTCAGAGAGCAGGAAACCGCGAGAGGTCCGCGGCGCGCGCATTATGAAATCGGAGATATTACGGGAGGAAGTTGTATTCCCGGCGGTCTTATGGGCGCACGCTTCGCGTAGCTGCGGCGTAAAATATCATCGTTATGCGCCGCGTACGGGGTTGATATTAGCCGCGTGCGCGCGCGGCGCCGTCGTCGTCGATATTTACTGCAAGTCCATTGTTTTACGCGTCGCCGTGGCCGGTCCCCGCCGCCGATACGGTTGTGCCCAATCGCGCAGCCAACGGCGCGCGCGCGCTCGTTGCGAAAGCGATCGAGTGACCGGTCGCGCCGCAATCCTGTCGTTCACCTTGCCTCCGAGCCGACGCTGCTTTTGATCGCGCGCGCGCGCGCGCGCGCTTGCGATTTTCCCACCGTCGATTATGCAAATTAATCAGCTCCGCGAAACGTGAGCCTGTTATTGTGAGAGAATTTCCGCCACCGCTTCCTCACGCTCGGCCCCGCTCGGCGGATTTACGGCGTAAGTCTCGCCGCTCGGAGACTTTCCGCCGGCTCGGCCGAGCCAATGAAAACACGCGGGCGACATTTTTTGTAAAACTGTGTTTGTAAATCTTGGATATCGTGCGTGCAGTCTCTCACAACCTCTCGTGTCGTTGATCGCTGTTGCAGGTGATACCGGCGGATCGCCGGCCGCCGGAGAAGGAGGAGACGTGGACGTTGGCCAGCGATCAGCAGCAGAATCCGTGCGCCTTCGCCGACGACAACGTCGAGTCCAGCAAGGGCCCGAAAGCGGCATCGCAGAATCCCGAGAAGATCAAGGCGCCGCCGAGCAGCGCGGAGGTGACCTCGTGCGCGGACACCAACGAGAACGCGGATAATGCCCTGCCGCGCAGCCAGGAGACGAGAAAGAGCAAGACGAAGAAGGTGAAGAGCTACCTGAGGAAGTGCAAGGGCGCTCTGTCGAAGGGCGACGAGAGCGTCGCGGAGAAGAGACGCCAGGAGAACTGCACTTCCTGGTACTTGGAGGACGTGGCGACGGCCACCGTGGCCTGCGTGAGCAGTCGCGACGAATCCGCGGAGAGGTACACGGAACTCGCCGAAGAGAGGCTCGAGCAGGAACCCGTGGACGAGCCCGCGCCGGAGACGCTCGGGGCGAGTCTCCCGAAGGGCGAGAACCTCGACGAGACTACCGCGGACGAGGCTCTCGCCAGGCTGTTGGAGGAAGATCGCAGAGCTGATCTGAACAGAAGCAGGACGTCCCTGTACGAGGACGCCAAGGACTCGGGCCCGGAGCAGTGCGCGCCAGAGGACGAGAATACCCGGAACAAAGAGCCGGAGCAATTCCGCGAGGACGAGAAGAAGGACGACGCGGTCTCGCTCGAGACGTTGACAGCGGAAGACACGAACCTGAACAAGTGCGACTCGAGCGACACGCTGATAGCGGAAGCGACGGAGGCGGGCGTGTATCTCGAAGCGGAACCGGCGGTCGTCGCGGAGGAAGCCGAGAAAGCGGAAGTGTCCATCGATGGCGACGACCAGGCGACGTTACCGGTTCCTGCGTTCTGCGGGGTAAGTTGCTTCTGACAAGTGTCGATATTTTTTGGAGTTGACGGAGTTTTGGAGTTGCTCGTATTCTTGTAATCGCCTCGACAATTCGGTCGACGTCGAAGCGCCGCCACGGATTAAGAATCGAAAGGTTGTCGATCCTGCGGACAGTCCGCTTGAACCCGTGAATGAAGCCCGACGCGATGGAGATTTAGAAACACGTCGCGTCGATACGCGGCGCGGTCGCCGCTATTGTTCCGCCGACCGGCATGAACTATTCATAATAGATAGACGACGCAAGTTTACGGCCGCGGATGATATTAAATTCGCTCGATGGGCCGACTCGATAAATCGAATTCCCGTCATTCGGCGACTAAAGTCCTCTCGCGCCGAGACTAACGGCGCCGTCGCGGAACGCGCAGACGCGTTATAAAAGGAACGAACAATGTCCATTTGAATACAAACCACTAGCATGGTTACTGCGCGCGCGATGGCAGTAAAGCAAATTGCAACACACACACACACACACCGGCCAAAGGAAGGCCTCTCTGTTCGTAATTTATGCTCTTACTCTTAATGCGCTACCAAGGATGATTAAAACGTAATTTCCACGGATATAGGAAGAAATACGGCGTACTCGCCTTTTTCTTCGCTGCGTGATTTACGACGCTTCATTTTCCACCGTTATGATTTATATCGGCGATCGTTCCCGCGCAGGCGAACGCTCTCGCGCGGTTCAATGCGCATTTTATCGAATATCCAATAGCGCGCACCTACAAGTTCTCGTGAAAGTCGCCGCCGCGCGATCGTCGCTCGTTGAATTTTGGATCGTCGCGTCAATTAGCATTGTCGGTGTTTACGCGATTCAGCACTTTGTGCTGAAAATTACGCAAATTGCACTCGGAAAGGTCCGGCGTTCAAGCGGATATACGACTTGTGGTCGATTCAATCGTGGAAATCGCGGATTTTGTTCCGCGTGTGTTCTCTACTTCCATTCTTGGCATTTCATTCGACTTTATTGCTCGAGACAGAGAAAAAGAAAGGAAAGAATAAAGAGAAGGAGAGAAAATCCGCTTACGGCTAGAGCTGTCGTTTGAAATTTTCATACGCCGAGCGATCGAGACATACGAGCTCGAAACATCCGCCGGCGAGTTGTCTCTCACGGAGAACATCGCGTGCCGAGTAATGGAAGAAACGCCGCGCGCGCGCGCGCGCGCGCGCGAGTCTCGCCAGTTTCGGAGAGCCGGGCAAGAGAGTAGCGTCATTATCGATGCATGTATACACATCGATTGTGCGCCGTCGCGTGATATCGCGCGCTGTCGCGTTCGTTGCCGCTCGCGCTCGCGCTCGCGGAATTCGGCGTGGGCGCAACGCGCGGGATTTGTCTCCCTTATCGATCGCGTCTCGCCGATGACAATTCGCGGCGGGCGAACATGACTCGGCGTATATATCGGCGGATACAGAGCGTTACTTCGCCTAACGCTTATGACATCCTGATTGAAAGTTTAAGCATCTCGACTTTCTCTGCACGACCTCGTCCGGGGACATGGCCCCGCGCCACTTGACTTATTCACATTAATGCGCACATCGCATAGAACTAAAGTCACTTGTCTTATCCGCATTAATACCGTCCGTGTATATAAAGCCGCAGCCGCTGTCGTCCGCTGACGCGCGCGCGCACCCCGTGAGAAATTCATATTGCGGCGCGATGCGCTTCGGCGAGATGTGTCGATGTGCGCATTTTTCGGGAGAAATTCTCTCTCTCTCTCTCTCGCGATTTCTACCCGTTGATCGCTGCAACGCGGACGTTTCGGAATTTATTCTGCCGCTCGCTCTCGCTCTATGGATTCTTATACTTTTCTCTAGACGTTTTTCTTTTTTATCTTGTTTTTAGCTAATTCTTTAGATAATTCTGATAACTCTTCCGATAGGATCAGTATTTGAAAAGGACTTGAAAACGTCGATAATTTATCTACTTTTGTGCCGGTAGATGATTCTATTTCCCGATGAATATCGGGAATCACCGTCCGCGAGAGAGAGAGAGAGAGACAGAGAGAGAGAGAGAGAGAGAGAGAGAGAGAGAGAGAGAGAGAGAGAGAGAGAGAGAGAGAGAGAGAGAGAGAGAGACGGTGAGTCATCCGCCGGCGGAGCAGCCTAACGATCGCACGATCGTATCGAGTGGAGTAATTGCCGATTTTTGCCGGGAGGAATCGCGAGCAGGAAAACGCGGACTCTCACCCAGATACCTACATAGTGCCGCCTCGCCGCGCGGACCGAGTTCGGCCTCATGGCTCTCCGGGTTAGCCTAGGTTAGACCGGGTTCGCCGAGGTACTTGTTAGGGCGGACCCGGCGAGACGGAGGTGTGTATGGGAATTGCGGGTCGTGCTCATTAATTATATCGGACGTGATCTATCTGGACCACGGCTGCTTGCACGCGGTCGCTCGCGAGAGTCACCACGTGCAGCTCCACGCGGACGGCGTGCATCGGCGGCGACCACGCCGGCTTCTCTCTTTCTCTTTGCAGAACCGAGCTCGAACCGAGAATGTGTTCGATCCACGTTGGTGTATCCACCTCGCTGCCGAAACCTCACTTCCCGATCGCGCGAGTTCCCACCGCGTGCTCAGCTATCCGAAATTGAGAATGATCGAGAATGCTCTGTCGCAACGCGTGCTTTCGCGAAAGTCTCAGCCGAAATAATCGAGGGGGAGAGAGAGAGAGAGAGAGAGAGAGAGAGAGAGAATGAGTGTGTGTATGTGAAATCCGACTGATTGCTCTTTCCGCAGCTGTGAGCAAGAAATGGCGATGAGCCGGTCAAGAAGTCGCGTCGACACCAACTTGTCTCGCGTTCGAGAATCGACACAAAGCGATCAAATTTACGCGAGTTATCGTGATTAACATGATTTCCTCATTAACATGATGTCAAAGAAGAAAAAGACCGCGTCGCGAAGCATCCGGCCGATAAGATACGGACGGGATTTTTCCAAATCGAGTTCCCGGCCGAGTTCACGGCCGATTTCCGATCGAGATGACGATCGCGCTCACGTGGCGGTCCGGCGATTGATCGACCGGCTGCGATTGAGAGCGATCGCTAAGCATCTGCATCTAGCGGAACTCCGTTTTTCCAACGGCCGGTCCCGACCGGCACCTCGCGGACGCGGAAGTCCCATGGGTGCGTGCGAGTTCGTTCCACTTGTCCCTGGACGAGCGAGCGACGCCGAGGTCTCCTCCGGGCGATGTATAGCGGGCCTCCGCGAATAAGCACGGCGCGCGCGCGGTATCCACAAGGTGGTTGCGTTTACACCAGCATTAGTTCGCGGCGCGTCGTCGACGTTCACCGCCGCGTACGCATGCACGCGTACGCGTACGCACACGCGCATTACAGGGTGGCGTAAATCTGGCCGACTCGACTCGGTGCCGATCGCCGCCGCTGAAACGCTACCCGATCATCAGTCGTGAAAGTGTAGCCGCGGAAAATGATTGGCCGCGCGTCGCGCCGCTTGTACTCGCTGCACACGCCCGCTTTCCTCTCTCTCTCTCTCTCTCTCTCTCTCTCTCTCTCTCTCTTTGCGAGTTCGTCTCCTGTCTGTTCTCCTCTCCCTTCGGCCGCTGTCTCCTCGTTCCTCCCGCGAGAGAGCCTCTCCTCCGCGGCACGCACACCTGTACGGGGTGTCCGGCGCGATTCTGATCACCTTGTGCTTGGTATCGCACTCGGGATCATTGGGACTTGTCGTCGAAAGTCGATGGCCGATGGTCGATGGCCGACGCGATACGCTCGGTGCGATGTGCTTTTGCCTCGGGGTGTCTCACACGGCGGCTGAACTCGGTCATAAGCGGGGCAAGTTCGTGTTGTTCTTCGGCGTTGTTGGTCGACGAGAAGCTTCGAGTTCTCGAGTTTGCCAAGCCTAGTCGAAGAGCGCTCGATTACGGCTCGCGGGAGCTATCGTGAGACAACTGTTCGTCGGCTCACTCGACGTCCGCGGTGGCTCCGCGGGTTTACGTTAGCTGGATGGTGGTCCGGGACACCCCGTATATCCACGCTCCGTTACCTTCACGTCGGATTATAGATTAAGCCGCACCTCCAGCGTAGACGCGCGGAAAACGATAAGCGGAGAATACGGCGCGGGATTTATTGTAATTGGCGGTAATGACGGTTTTACGCCGCCGCCGCCACCGCCGCCGCCGTCGACAACCACTATGCTCTCTTCGGCTGTATACGCTTCGTCAGTATGTACGGTCGTAAGTCACCGGGGAAGCCGATTGCGAGCGAGCGAGCGAGCGTACGCACGCACGCACTTTGCGCGCGTGTATGCACGGCTTTAAAACTAGGAAGAGAGAAGATGCCGTTGCTTCGCGCTGTTCTTCCGCGCACTGACCTAGATGGATAAAAGTCCGAGAGCAAGAAGTCTCGTCTGGGGAATAAAGATGCGGCTGTCTTTTGTTCTTCGAATAATTGGGTATTTCGTCGGGAATTGCGCTCTCCGCGCGCTCCCCTTTGCGTTTAATTGAGAGCAAAGGTACCATATAAAAACGGTTTGGAAACGGTTGAGGTCGTTATAAGTCTCGTCGAGAGACCTTGTCGACTTGTCGATCGTTTTGGGAAATTTATCGTAGCATTAGATCGATAATTCGAGGAATGACAAACACGTCTCATCGCATCAGAGAACGTCGAGATAATCGCGATTATGACCTCACGAAAGCGATCTTAGCTGACATCGTCTTTCTCACTCACGGGACATTTTTCCTTTTTTCTTTTTTTTTTAATTCGAGGAGAGCCGGCGGCCGCCGATCAAGTGTTCGCTACGTGAACATTTGATCGGGTTCCGTTTTGTTTATCGACACGGTTAGTCGACCAAGCCGTGACTGTTTGGCGTTTCTGGGACAGCCCGATAATCCCTCTATCACGACCTGTCCCTGTCTCGCGAAACGAAAGGCGGCGTCGAAAGTTACGCTCGCTCGACGTCTCCCGAAGTCGCGCATAATTCGCAACGCTCACAAAAAAACCCGCACAGCGCACGAGTTCTT